CAGTACTCCCCTGAGAATTTCTTGTAAGGGTGGTCGTGTGGTGGTGAACTCCCGCAGTTTTTGTTTGTCTGAGAAATATACTATTTGCCCTTCATTTTGGAAGGATAGCCTTGCAGGGTAGAGTATTCTTGGCTGGCAATCTCTGTCTTTTAGTATTTTGAATATATCCTCCCATTCCTTTCTAGCTTTTAGGGTTTGTGATGAAAAGTCTGATGTTAGCCTGATTGGGGCTCCCTTGTAGGTGATTTGGTGCTTCTCTCTTGCAGCTTTTAAGATTATCTCTTTGTCTTTGAGTTTTGCCAATTTGACTATAACATGTCTTGGAGAAGATCTTTTTGGGTTAAATACGTTTGGAGATCATTGAGCTTTCTGGATCTGAAGATCTGTGATTTTTCCTATACTTGGGAAGTTTTCTGCCACTATTTCATTGAATATGATTTCAGTGCAATCTTCCTTTTCCTCCCCTTCTGGAACACCCATGACTCGGATATTTGAGCACTTAAGGTTGTCTGATATCTCTCTCAGATTTTCTTCAATCTCTTTGATTCTTTTTTCTTTCTTTCTTTTTTTTTTGTCTGCTTGTGTTATTTCATACAGCCCATCTTCTAGTTCAGAGGTTCTCTCTTCAAGTTCCGCAAGCCTGCTGGTTAAACTCTCAATTGTGTTTTTATTTCGGTGAACAACTTCTTCAGTTCGGGAAGTTCTGCTACATTTTTTTTCAGGACATTGATTTCCTTGTACATTTCCTCTTTCAGGTCCTGTATACTTTTCCTCATTTCATCATGATGTCTAGCTGAGTTTTCTTGTATTTCATTCAGTTTCCTTAGAATTATCACTCGAAATTTCTTGTCAGTCATTTCAAGGGCTTTTTGTTCTATAGGATCTAGAGCTTGAGATTTATTAACTTTTGGTGATGTAGTTTCTTGATTTTTTGTATTTCTGGTATCTTTTTTTTGATGTTTATTCATTGTGGCAGGGGGTTTCACAGTCCACTGGTTTGATACTATTGTCTCGGTAGGATGTTGCTGTGGTTGCCAATTTGGTATGGCTACCTCTGTGACTGCTCATTTGGACGCTAGTGCCTTTTGTGTGTGGTTGCCTCGGGACTTGGGCCTCTCCGGGGAGCCACCCCTCTGGTCAGCTTGGACTCTGCCGGGCTGCTGGATCATGGGGGCGGGGTGGGGGTACCGCAGGGTGTGTGGTCTCTGCTGAGCTTCCACCTCCCATGCAGGACTTCTCCCTGTTCCGTGCGCTCTGGCCCGGGCTGCTGCTGGATCACGCAGTGGCGGCCTCACAGGGTGTGTGGTTTCTGCCGAGTCTCCACCTCCCTTGCCGGACGTCTCCCCGCTCTGTGCGCACAGGGCTAGGCTGGGAATGGAGCCAGGTGGCGGCGGTGAAGCCTACCTGCTGGATCACGCAGTGGCGGCCCCACAGGGTGTGTGGTTTCTGCCGAGTCTCCGCCTCCCTTGCTGGACGTCTCCCTGCTCTGCGCACAGGGCTGGGCTGGGAATCTCTCCAGAAATATTTAATGTCTTTTCTTTATTCCTGGTGTTCTGAAATTTCCACAGTCATGAGCCTTCCTTCAGGTTTCATTAATAAAGTGTGTTCAGTGGTTCTTTTCATCTTGTGGATACAAGTCCACCAGTCCTATGAAACTTTTTTAAAAAAATCATTTGTTTGGTAATTTTCTCCCCACTGTTTTCTTGGTTCTCCTTCTAGAATCTTTAATCAAATGTTTCAGTTCATTGTATCCTATTTTCAGTAGCACCTGTGGCTTCTAGTTTCTCAGCCTTTCCATGGTTACTGGTGCAAATCAGTTACTTTTCATTGGGCCGCCCTGTAATAGGCACTTTGGTTTGACTTTCCTACATATTGCCAAGTCTGTACTATTCTCCCATCCTCTTAATATTGTGTTATAATTCAGGTCTATCATTATTTCTTATTTTCATCAAAGATGGAGTTTCTGTTTCTCATTCTCTGTGTTTTTGAGAGGAAAATAATTTAGGCACTCCATATTGAAAAAGAAACATGTTCGTTTGTTTTGTTCCTAATTATTTTCACATACATCAGTTATGGTTATATGTTTTACAGCCTGAATTTATAAAAAATGTTCTAAAGCAAAATGACTAGACCTATCAACAGAGATAAGTGCATTTTTGAATAACTGTGACAGATTGCTTACACATACCAGTGTCTGAACTTTAAAAAATATTCTGTATTTTATCAAATTCTAAGATACTGTCACTGCAAGAAGCACCATTTTGTTATATACCACCAAGAAAGAAGAGCAATCAATTAAACATTACATATAGACTTTAAAACATTAAAATTTGTTTATTGTGGTAAAAAACACATATAATAAAATTTAGCATCTTAACCATTTTTAAGTGTACAGTTCAGTAGTGTTAAGTATATTTACATTGTTATGAAACATCTCTAGAACTTTTTCATCTTCACTTGGATTTCTAATGTTAAACGTACTGAAACAATGCTTTTTGATTTATTTGAGCAAGGGTTCTTATTGTATTTTACACTGCTTTGTATTCTTGCCTATCTATGAACACAGTAATTTTTTGTTTAATGCTAAATCATGTTGTCATCTTTTTGAAGACATTTAAACAGCAAAATTACTTAGAACATGTCTAATATTAGCAATGCACTAACTTGTATTTAAGTGATCATTATATGAACAGTGTGACTAACTTGCATATATTTGCACATGCACAGGCAATGACAATTATGTCACAACTTGTATGTGCTGTAAAGATGTAAAAATATCATCACTTTTAAAGTACGTTCCTACTTCAGATATGTTAAGATGTAAAAAAATGTGAATCATAAGAATGGATAAAACATAATGTACTCTAATTTCACTGAATAGAAATGGTTTCATAATATATTTGTTTTTGTTTTTGTGTCTCAAATTATAACCATAAACTGTATGTATGCATGTGTACATATGAGTGTACTCCAAAAAGTTCATGGAAAATAGAATGAAAAGATAATACCCATCTTTCCACGAACTTTTTGAAGTACACTTATATATAGATACAGATTATAGATATGTACACACACACACTTTTTCTTTTTACTAAGTAAATTGATAGATCTCTGTTTTTTAGTTCCCAGATAAAGATTTTCCAAAAGGAGGTACTAGCTTTAACATTGAAGATAATTTTCAGGTGATAGCTGGGTCTGATAAGGATTCAATTGAAAGTTATTGTAAGTAAATTGTAAGTAAAATATAACATTAAAAAATAATTTAACAGTGGATAAACTGTTATGTAAAGATTCTGCTTTTTTTTTCTCCATAGCTATTTTAGATTTTCCACCTAAAGATTCAGAACATTCATACCACTGTTTGGATTATAATTTTAAATCAGCAGAGAAGACTTCATGGGAAGTAAGTAAGGTAAAATGTAAACAAAGCTTTAGTAGTTGAAAGTAAAACATTTTTGGTAGTCTGACAAGAAATGAATCTATTAAAAACTAAAAAGGTAGAAATCTTAAGTCTGGATGATTTTTAAACATGATCAAGAATGTTTATCAACAACTAACCAGCATTATTTTGGTGATGAAACAGCAGAGTAATTTCTGTTAGATCCAATAACAAGATGTGAATGACTGCTATCTTCTTTGTTAAAGGTATTTTTATTTTGCAATATGACATAAAATGAGAGACATAATTAGGAAGAAATACAATTAAAATTGGTTAAAAGTTTAAGAAGAATTTTGTAAAGGAGATAAAGACAAGGTAAACTTGAAAAATTAATAGCATTCCTAAACCAGTTAAAAAATGTAATAGAAAAAATGTCCCAACAGTAGTAACAAATAATATAAAATGCTGAAGCATAATCTTAATTGGAAATGTGCAGGACATGTATGAAATAGACCATGAAATTTTACTGTAAAATATAAAATTCATGAATAAGTAGAATTCAACAGTATTTTCTGAATGCCTTCTGCAGGTCAGAAGACTTGTAAGATGTGGATATAGACTGATGAACAAAGTAGGTATGATGAGAACAAACAAACAAATAAATAGAGATAATTGCTATGAAGGAAAGCTGTGAAAGTACTCTGAAATTACAGGGAGAATTTGCAGTAGAGTGGGTGATTAGGGAAGGCTTTTCCAGCTATGGCAACAGTGAGGGAAAGAACACACCATGCAAAGAAACAGCAAGTGTAAATACTCTGAGGGCAAAAAGAGTTGGCTTGACTTGAGGAAGTGAAAGAAGGCCAAGGCAGCTGGATTGTAGTGAGTGAAAGAGAAAGTGCTAATTAATGAGGTTGGACAGGTAAGCTTGACCAGACATATAGAGTCTTGCAGGTCAGGTTCAGAACTTTGATTTTACTCTGTGTGCCTCTGGGAAATCACTGAAGGGGAAAGCAGTTTATTAATCGGCTAGGATTTCCGTAACAAAATAACCACAGGCTGGGTGGCTTAAACAACAGAAATTAATTTTCTCACAGTTCTGGAGGCTAGAAATCTAAGATCAAAGTTCCAGCCAATTTGGTTTCTTTTGAGGGCTTGCAGGTGGCTGCCTTCTTGCTATGTCCTCACATAGCCTTTCCTTTGTTTTTGTACTTGAAGAGAAAGAGAGTGTTCTCTGGTGTCTCTTCTTATAAGGACACTATTCTATCAGATCAGGGCCATCCCTACCCTGATGACATCATTTAACCTTAATTATCTCTTAAACGCCCTATCTCCAAATACAGTCACATTGAGGGTTGGGGCTTCAACATGAATTTTTTTTTCTTTTTCTTTTTCTTTCTTTCTTTCTTGCTTTTTTTTTTTTGGCAGCTGGCCAGTAATGGGATCCAACCCCTTGACTTTTGTGTTATAACACTGCAGTCTAAGCAAGTGAGATAACCTGCCAGCCTCAACATGAATTTTTGAGGGGACACAATTTAGTCCATAGCAGAGAGAAGGGACAGGTTTGGTGAGTATATAAGAATAGATAAGGAATGCCTGTGAGACAGTCAAGTAGAGTTGTTAAGTAAGAGGTTGCGTACATGGGTCTGATTCAGAGGAGACGTTTGTGCAGTCATTTGTATGTAGAAAGTTTAAGGCAATAAGAATAGATGGGTTCGTTGAAAAAGTTTCAACAAAAATAGAGAGAGAAGAGAATGGGTTATATCCCATTCTCAAGAATTGGTATGAAGAAGGTTAGTTATGTCAATTATTGTTGAGGCATCCAATAAAATGAGGACAGAAATGTCACTTCATTTAGCAACTTGGAGGTCATTGGTGACCTTGGCAAGAATAGTTTCAGTGAAATAGCAAAGGTAGAAACCAGTTTAAAGTGGATTAAAGAATGAATGAGAAATAAGAAAGTAGAGACTGTGTGTGTCAAACTTTTTGAAAGATTAGCATATTTAGTCAGTCAGTCAGCAAATATTTCTTGAGCAATTACTGTATGTAGCACTCTTCTAGGTTTACAGACAGGCCTGTGAATAAAAGAGGCAAAATTCTGCCCTCACAGAACTTACATTCTAGTGAAGGTAGACAGGCAATAAATAAATAAATATATAGTATCTTGGAAGATTTTAAGTGCTTTGGAGAATGATATAGCTATTTAAGGGGGACAGGATGTGCAAATGGGGCTGAGTTCTATTTTACATACATAAGATAAGGTGTCTTTGATAAGATAACTTTGGAGTAGAGATATGAATGAAGGAAGGGAGAGAACCATGCAGATATCTCGGGGAAAGCATTCCAGGCACAGGGAATAGCAAGTGGTGTTGAGGCAGAATACAGGCCAATTTGTAGAACAGCAAGGTGGCTGCCATGGAGTGAGTGAGTGAATGAAGAGAGTGATAGGAAGTAAGTTCAAAGAGGAGGTAAGGAGCCTGATCAGGTTGGGCCACATAGGACATTGGAAGAGTCACCTTGTACTTTGAGAGAGATTGGGAGCCATTGGAGGGTTTTGATCAGAGGAGAGAAATGATTGAACTTAAATTTTAGGAATAACTCCCCAGCAAATTTGTAGAGAATGTACTAGGGGAATATGGTAGAATACTCAATAAGCAGTGACTGTTACTGTTATTTTTATTGAGGAGGCAATACAGTGTAGACTGCCTAGGTTTGAATCACAACTCTCACTTATAAGCTGGATGAATTTAATCAAATTAACTGCTTAACTGCCCTTTTTCTCAGTTCTCTCAGCTGTAAACGAGGAAAATAAAGAGTACCCACCATGGTGGTTGTAAGGATCAAATAAGTTAGAAATATAATGTGCTTAGAACAGTTGCTGGCACATAGTAAAAACTTGAGAACATAGACCATTATTATGGTGATGATCATATGGTAATTTCCCATTTGTTTGTCCCTGTCTTCCACTAGACTGAACTCCTTGAGTACAGGGACCATGAGTATTCATTTCACATCCTTAGTTCCTAGCACAGCACCTAGAACCCCGTAGCTAGTCAAGAAAATGTTTTAACATTTATATATAAACTTTTTTTTTTTTTGTCTTTTTCGCGACCGGTAACTGCGCTCAGCCAGTGAGCGCACCAGCCATTCCTATATAGGATCCGAACCCGCAGTGGGAGCGTCGCTGTGCTCCCAGCGCCTCACTCTCCCGAGTGCACCACTAAACTTTTAATCTTTATTGTCATTTACTCGAACAAAAAAAAACTCACACAAACATGTTCATTTTAACAAGTTCAAACCATTCAGAGGAGTATAAAGTTAGAAGCAAAAGAGTCCTTTTCCTCTGGTCCCACTTCTTTCAAAAGCCACTCTTAACAATTTGGTGAGTTTTCTTCCAAACTTTTATTCTACTAGTCTATGCTTATACAAATATATATTTTAAATGTAATCATAATATTAGATTTTAAGATGATTAATTTCTGGAAGAAGCAGCAGCAACAAAATTAAATGCTGTTCTAATAAGAATAACATGGTGAATTATATGGCTATTCAGATCTAGGATATATTTTAAAAGTTCACTTCATTTGGGAGCAATATCATGAAGTTTAGATTAACTATAGGTAAACCCTAGACCTGAGGACATAAGAGAAAACTCTTCAGTCCTTGAATCTGGAGGCATTTAGACCTTCACAGCTCTAAATATGAGGTCTGATTTGGCCTGAGCCTCTTTTTTTTTTTTTTTTTTTTTTGTCTTTTTCCGTGTCTGGCAACGGATCGCAACCCTCAGTGTCGCCCCCACACTGGACCGGGACCGGCAACAGGATCGCAACCCTCGGTGTTGCTCCCGCACCTCGCTCAGCCAGTGAGCGGGAACCGGTCTGTATGTGGGATCCGAACCCTCGGGCGGGAGCGCCGCCGCGCTTCCCAAGCGGCGCACTATCCAGTGCGCCACCGGGCCGGCCCTGCCTGAGCCTCTTAAAATGATAGTTGATCTTCAGAACCAAATCCTCATAACCCAGATCAGTCTAAATCAGAATCTGACCCATTTCAAATAAATTCAAAGTGTTTTATGTTCTGTATTTCACTTTGTTATTCTTGTTGATTTTAATGAGTTTATTCTATTCTCTCCTTTTTGGAAGAAGTTTATAGTTCTTGCCACCACAATAGCTCTACACAATGTGCTTGAAATCATTAAATTTATAATATATATTAATAAAATTTATTCAAACAGTAGGGAAAAAATGCAATAAGATTTTGGTCTGTGGTTTTGTTTTTTTCTTTCTGGATAGGTAACATCACCAAGACAAAAGATCTCTACATTGAGCCCTATTTCTACTTTTTCTTTGAACTCAAGAGATGAAGACTTCGTGCTAGAGTTCTCTGAGGAGTCCCTGAAAGCAAGAACTTTACTTGGTGATCTTCACTTTCTCAATGTGGAGTATAGTTGGTATCATACTGCTCTAACATCTGTCTGTCCATGTAAAATGAAGTGGTTTTTTTGGGAGATTGTTACTAAACTAAAAATGTTTTGGAACCAGATTCAGTGTCATACCATTTGAAGCATTACCATGCCCTTTCTTTCTGACTTTTTTTATTATAGATAGCTATTCTGAGTACAATACTCCCTTATAGCTCTCAAGTTCCTTCTTATTTCTCCCCCCATCTTTGTCATCACAGAACTCTGAAAGTGTCTTCTTCCATTGAATACTTCTCATAGCTGTAACTTCAGAGCCTGACCCCTCTATTAGCTACTTCCTCTCCCAGGGGATCGACTCATTGTGAATCATCAACACCATTGGTTGACTTTAGCATAACCTCTTAGTTTCTCCTTTTTTGCTTTGAGATCCTTGCAATATCAGGAAACTCTTCAACTGCTGCTACAACCATTCCACTCTCAGTCCTCTGTGTTTTCATACATTTTGACTCATTTTGATTCCTGCTTCTTGATAAGTGTAATACTATTCTGTGGGATCCCTTCCACTAACTTCTTGTTTCCTCTCTCTTTTCTTATAATCTCATCAATATATCCTTCCCTGATTCTGAAGTTCTGTTGGGTGAGGGGTGGAGTTGTATGTAATTTTTTTGATGATATAAAAAAATTGATGATACAAAAAATAAAAATTTTGTAATGTGAATGGGTTGTTGTGTTGGAGAAGGTTTAGTGGATATTAGTAGGAGGCAACAAGGTTGGGAAGAGTCAGTATGAGAAGTGTAGGTATTCTAAAACAAGTGAAGTGGCAGTGGAATAATACATGATTTTCACAGTTATCCCCCAAATCTTTTACTTCTTTAATGGAGTTTTAACTTTTATGTCAATGTTGCTTGATTGAGTTGTTAAAATCACAACATAGCACTTTATAAAAGAATATTCATTGTCTCACTTACTGCTACACTTCTTCCCACATCAACTCCAGAATTTATTTCCAACAAAATAGAAACTCTGTCAGGAAAGCACATTATTATAAAATAGGAACCCATACATTGTTAGATAAAAACTTTAAGCCTGCCTAGTTCCCATGCAGTATTATTCATTTATGTACACAACAAATAATTATTGCTTTTTACATTTTCAGGGATATATCTATTACTAAAATCACTGAGAGATAGAAGGAATTATAAAATTCTTTCAGACAATATCTGCCGTGAATGTACAGACTTGTACTCTTATCACATACCAATAGATAAAAATAAAGCTAAAATCTTCTTTACCCTGAAGGGTAATGTAGTAATTTGTGAGTGTAATGAATATATAAAGGAAGTTATAATCACATAGTCATATAAATGAACCATGAACTTCAGTCTCTGGAGAAGGAATATAAAGTCAATATCAAAAACTAGTTCTGGGTTCTCATCCTGACTCTATTGGTAGTCGTGTTACCTCTAGGTCGCTGTAATCTCATCTGTAAAATGAGAATGATGTATCATTTGTTAGCTTTAAAGTGCCTTGAAAACATAAGTTTATATAAGCATAATATAGTAATTAGGAAAAAAATAGGTAAGGAGGAAAAGATAAAAACTTCAAGTTCATCAAACTTAAAATTAAGTTTTGGAGCTATAAATTAAGCTTTGAAATCTTTATTTTTTTTAAGATTAAAACCATTAGTTTTTTTTAAAGGAAATAAAATTATGTGATTTTTTTCTTTTTTTTCAGGGCAAGTTGGTACTTTTTGCTTTTGTATAGTTGCTTGCTGTTTTCCAGAGCTGGGTGATGACTAGTAGTACATTTTTATTTAATTGTCATTTTGTTTTCTTTTAGGAATGAAAAAATTCAGTTCTCTAGAGAATAAAAACCTTCAAAAGCTACCATTAGTAAGTAGAGCCCAAGTTCCACTTATTACTTTGCCACCTACAGATGAGTCACTGGACTTAGATTCTTGTTCATATGTGATCAACTGTGACACACAAGAGTCTTCTGGTTCCCCCATGTTCAACCTGTGTGAAGAGCCAGCAGTTCTTTCTTTTAGCTTTGGGCCTGAGGACCAAAGTGAAATTTCTTTGTCTGAAGAATCTAGGGAAGAGACTCCAAGGGATGTTTTACTTCTCAGTAATATGTCTACTCAAAGCAAGTGGCTGAAATATCAAAACACATCCCAATGCAACTTGACTACTCCAAATGGAATTGATAAGAAAGTAACAGCTGGCTTTTTTGCTGAGGATGTTTCTAGGATACATTTTAGTGACACAGGCGAAAGGCAGAACGATGCTATGAATCAAAGCTCCTTAGACTCTGAGCATTTGCAAGTGATAAAAGATATGCTCTATCAACAGCAGCAGAATTTTAGCAGTCAAGATTTGGCTTCCAGAGAGATAGTACTTTCTTTGAATTTAAAGCAGACATCCAAGACTGAGGAAGTTCAAAATGAGTTAGGAGGGTCCGCCTGCTACAAGTACAGTGTAAAAGATTTACAGGTGAGGAAATGTACCAGTCTCTTGGTACATTTTTTCTTTTTTTGTCTTTTGTCTTTTTCCGTGTCCGGCAACGGATCGCAACCCTCAGTGTTGCCCCTGTACCGGACTGGGGACCGGCAACGGGATCGCAACCCTCGGTGTTGCTCCCGCACCTCGCTCAGCCAGTGAGCGGGAACCGGTCTGTACGTGGGATCCGAACCCTCAGGCGGGAGCGCCGCCGCACTTCCCAAGCGGCGCACTATCCAGTGCGCCACCAGGCCAGCCTTGGTACATTTTTTCTAATAGTAATTATCTGAATTGCAACAAAAGAATTGCCAAAATTCTGTAATACAAATTTTACTTTTGGAGCAGATGGCTTTTTTTGATCTAAAACTCTAGCTATAGTCGCCTTATCTCCTTTAACTTAAATTCTTTCCTAGTAGTTGTGAACATCAAATGAAATTATGTATTTGAAAGTATCTGGTGCAGTGTTTACTAAGCACATAATAGGTACTTAGTAAATCATTGCTCCTATTCCTGTTTTCACCACTCCTTCCATTACTGCTATTACTATGATTAAACAATCACTTTGATTAAACAATTACTTTTTGACTATCAGCTCAGTTTTGCTGATCAGGACATTGTTAGGGTAAAGGTACAACTTATTACATATTAGTTGTGAGTAATTCTTATAGTCATAACCAGAAATAAAGATACATAATGATCCATTCATATCAGTTAAATTTTTCTAGGAAAAAATATTTAAAAGCTTATTATGGGGCAGACAAGAAAAGTTAGTCTTATTTAGGGTTAAAAGTGCCATACATGGCTATTCTTGCTATACTTGGTTTCTCATTTAAAATTAGAAAATAATCTTCAACGATTTTAGAAATCAAAAGAAAAATTAGTGTGGTTTTCTTAAACATATCTATGAAAAGTAATTTGCTCATGAGTAAGCAGTATTTTTCTGGAGTTATTATAATAACTTGAATTATTCCATTTCAGGAGATAAACAGTTCTGAGCTATGCTTCCCAAGTGGGCAGAAAATAAAATCTGCTTATCTTCCTCAGAGACAAATTCACATACCAGCTGTTTTTCAGTCTCCTGCTCATTATAAGCAGACTTTTACATCTTGTCTCATAGGTATGACTGTTATACTTTCACTTTATTATGATTGATTGCTGCTTAATGTAAGTAGTAAACTATGAGAGAGTGTAATATCTTATATTGTGAATTTTTGTACTAAATTGTCCACTTGAGATTTGTTATTTTCCATGTTTACTCCAGTTATTACAGTAACTTTTATTCCAACTTTAGATCAAAATTGAATTTTAAAAATGGGAAATGATAACATTACCTTTTAAAAGTTATAATTATTTATTTTTTAATTTTGTGATGATATTGGCTAACATTTATTGAAACACAGTCCAAGTAGTGCTCTAAGTGCTTTGGTCATTTAATTCTCACAACAATTTTGTCAGTTTTGTACTATTATCACCCACTCTCCTTACGTTATTAGTGCTGAAATTTAAACAGAGATTTCACAGTTACTTCCCCTTAAGCATTAACTGAATTGATGTTGCCACATCAGTTTTTGTATTTAAAGAGTCAATATTGACCTTTAATATTCCTAGAGTGTTTCTTAATTTTTACTACCCATATATGCCCTGTTGTTTTTGAGGAGAATAATGGTTACTCTGAAATGGTTACTCTGTTTATTTGCTGCTCAAATGATCTGTCCAATGCTGAGAGGCATGATCGGGTCCCCCAATACTACCATAGAGCAGATGTCTCTTCCGTCCCTATGAAATAGGCTCTGTGGAGACAGACATCCTCCTCTTTTCTTTATCTCTGCTGGTGACTCTCCTTGTGTCAACTCACTCCAGTGGCTGGTGGACCATCTGCCTGGTGGTTGTGGCATCTAGCCGCCTTCACGACAGCCATGGTTATCGTGGTGGCTGTGGTGGGCCACCCACATGGAGGAGATGTTTTTGGCCTGCTCCGTGGTGCTGGCAGTGTGCCTGGTTGTGGAGAGTGTCCAATCCCGATTCCATGCCCTGGGTCCCCGAGTGGGTCCCGAGGTGCTGGGACGGTGTGCCTGGTTGTGGGAGGGGGGTCCATTCCCCAGCCCCTTACCCTGGGTCTCTAGGCATGCCCCGAGGCGCTGGCGCAGTGTGCCTGATTGTGGATGCCTCGGTCCACAGCAGGCCTCAAGGCACTGGTGCAGTGTGTCTGGTGGTAGGAGGGGGATTCGGTCCCCTTCTCCATGCCCTGGGTCCCAGGGCAGACCCCAAAGTGTTGGCACGGTGTGCCTGGTTGTGGAAGGGGGGTCCAGTCCCCTTCGCTATTCCCCAGGTCCCCACGCAGGACCCAAGGCGTTGGCACAGTGTGCCTAGTTGTGGTGGGGGGGGGACGGTCCCTGGCTCCATACCCTGGGTCCCAGGGCAGGCCCTGAGGTGCTCACACAGGATGCCTGGTTATGGGAGGGGGGTCCGGTCCTCTTTTCCATGCCCCAGGTCCCAGGGCAGGCCCGAGGTGCTGGCAGGGGGTGCCTGGTTGTGGGAGGGTGGGTCCAGTCCCAACTCCTTATCCTGGGTCCCTGGGCAAGCCCCGAGGTGCTGGCATGGTGTGCCTTGTTGTGGGAGGGGGGTCCAGTCCCCTTCTCCATGCCCGAGGTCCCTGAGCAGGCCCTGAGGTGCTGGCATGGTATGCCTTGTTGTCGGAGGGGGGTCTAGTCCCATTCTCCATGCCTCAGGTCCCCAAGTGGTACCGGAGGCGCTAGCAGAGGGTGCCTGGTTGTGGTAGGGGAGTCCGGTCCCATTCTCCATGCCTCAGGTCCCTGGGTGCTGGCACTATGTGCCTGGTTGTGGGAGGGGGTTTCAGTCTCCTTCTCCATGCCTTGGGTCCCTGGGTAGGCCCCGAGGTGCTGGCATGGTGTGCCTGGTTGTGGGAAGGGGTTCGGTCCCTGGCTGCTAGCCCTGGGTCCCCGGCTGGGCCCCTAGGCATTGGTGTGGTGTGCATGTATGTGGGAGTGGGTTCCAGTCCCTGGCTCCAATCCTTGGCGTTCCTGGGTGGGGCCCCAAGGTGCTGGTGGTGTGAGTGGGTGTGGGCAGGGGTCCTGCCCCTGGCCCCATGCCTCATGTCCCTTGGTGGGCCCCAAGGCATTCATGGTGTGCCTGGGCTGGAACTAAGTTTTTGTCCTTTGCTTGCTTCTAACCCAGGGGAACTTCCTGTGGGAACCAGTGCTTGAGCTGTGTGGTTGAGGTAAATTGCTGCTTTGCTGCTGTTTCCCTAGGGAAGGCTTTTTGTGGAGCTTACGGATTAATGGTTGACCTTATAGGTACTTCCGGCTCTCCAGATACTCAGTGCAACTAGGTTGTGTAGAAACTCTGATCTGGGCCTGAGTTTTTTCATCGAATTGCACCTCATGCAATTCTGCATTCCTGACCAGTCTCTTCTGAGTGGTCCTGCACTGATTGGAGGGCGGACTGGCTGTCCTTGCTGTATCCCAGTGTTCTCCCAGTGGGCCCATCTCCCCCACCGCCCATGCTCCAAACACTTCCCATGCGATGGGCCCTGCACCAGTCCCTTGTGATGACTCACCAGCCTCTGAGTGGCTCCCCTTTTTCAGCTGTTCTGGCTCCTCGCTCCTGCATGGGTCCACGGGAATCTGGTTAGTGGTCTTGCTGTCCTGGGGGCCATCAAAGTCCTCTTCTCCCTTTCCGCCTCCAAGTAATTCCATCTAAGGGACACAGCTGTGGCTTCTGCTGGCTCCTGCTCCATGTGCTCCAGCATTAAAGTGGCCATGGCCCAAAACGCTGAGAGCAGATTTTTCTTTCTCTCTTCGTGGTTTCTCCTGCCTTCATGAGTTCCATAGGTCTCTACTCCTCTGCACCTGAGCTCCAGCAGCCCCAGCGTGGCTGATGTTACATTTTTATAGTTGTAAATTCATTGATTTGTGGGAGGGAGTGACACTGGGAACCGTCTATTCCACCATCTTGACCGGAAGTCCCTTATTTTTTTTCAAAAAGTAGAAGTCTTACAAATGACCTTGTCACATTAACTGGAAAATTTTAAGTATGATGCATGATTAGGTCTGATTGTTTTGAAGTAAAGGTCAAAACTTGCCTTAAAAAAAATAGACGATAGTATTATGTTGTAGTTGATTCTGTTAAAAGGCTATTTTCAGATTTAGTTAACACGCAGCAGATATGTGATACAAACATGAATTATTTTGTATTTAATTTTCAGTTGTTTCTTTTTTTTTTTGTAGAACATCTAAACATATTGCTTTTTGGGTTGGCAAAAAGGTTGCACAAAGCTCTTTCAAAAGTTGACCTGTCATTCTACACATCATCAAGAGGAGAGAAATTGAAAAACATAGAAAATAATGTGCCACTTTGCCATCATAATCAACCTGCAAAACTTGTCATGGTTAAAAAGGAAGGTCCAAATAAGGTATAGTTCCTGCCTCCCTTTCTGCCACCCCACCAAATACTTGTCTTATAAAAAGTTTAGGTACCTATTGCATTATGACAGACTTAAAGAGCCTTTTTTTTTTTGAAGTGTTAGTAACTTAACATGTAGTAAGCTTTCAAATTTTTATTGAAAGAATGATCTGTGTTCGAGGACACAAAAATATGAGTTAAGATCAACCTTTAAGTTGCTTATGAACTTATTGTATGGTCGTGTACAGAGAGAGATACATAAAAGAAAATTTTCTGTGGTACTATAACTGATGAAGTAAGAGGGATATGCTCAAGTTACAGTGAGAGCACTGTGAAGGGAAGTGTGTCCCAACCTGAGGGCTTAGAGAATGAATTCAGAGATGAGCCTGAAAGAAATGAAATCCCCAGTACAAGTAAAAGATAAGGTCAGAGGAACAGAAAAGCATGTTGACAATTTATATTGCTGGTAACATATTATGGAGGAAGCTAGGTTAGTAAAATGTATGTTGATTGATGGCTTGTACAGACTGCTTTCACTAATAATAATACAGTTTTCCTCCACCGTTTGCTTATCCTACTTCATCATTATTGGATGTTTAAATTTGGATTTGGGTCTGGCCATTTAGCACAGTGTGGTGCTGATAACACCAAGGGCCAGGGCAGCCAGCTGCCAAAAAAAAAAAAAAATTTGGATTTAAATTTAGTTGTCAAGGCTAGAATTCATAAATAATAATGTAACCATAGAGTAAAATATTATATAGCCACTAAATGTCTTTATTTTCTTTCTAAGATTGTTTGATGTCATAGTTACATGCTCATACTATGTTGTTGGGTATAAGAATTAGGTTACAGAGTAGAAAATATATCATTTGCGTTTTGTTTTAAAAAAAAATAGGAGGGTACTTTAAAAAGTTCATGAAAAGATTCATATATCTTATAATTTTTTTCCATGAACTTTTTGAAGTACCCTCATATATGTGTGTGTATCTGTGTGTGTGTGTGTATTTGTGTCTACTTATGTGAGGAAAAAGATGGAAAGAAATGCATAAAATATTGCTTGTAGTTGTTTCTGGGCAGTTTTCAAGTTGTCTATAGTGAACATTTTTAATCGGAAACCAAATTTTCAAATAAGGTTTTATTCTCAAAATAATGTAATCTTTTGTTTTTTTAATTTATTTTTATTGTAACAAAGTTGATTGTACATATCCGTAGGGTACAGAATTGAACATCAATATTCATGTGCAATATGTGACGCTCACATCAGAATAATTACTATATTCAATAATATACACTATCATTGCTCTTCATGGCCCTTTTCCCATTCCTTACTTTCAATAACATAATCTTTTGATGAAGAGAAAATAAGTGGAAAAGCAGGTGGTTTTAAATTTTTATTGTTTAAATTAGTTAAGTTGTATGGTGACTAATTGTTTTAGTCTGTTTTGTTTTGCTATAAAAGAAACACCTGAGAGTGGGTAATTTATAAAGGAAAGAGGTTTATTTGGCTTACGATTCAGGGACAGCTGCATCTGGCATGGGCCTCAGGCTGCTTCTACTCATGGCAGAAAGTGGCAGGCAGCCGGCGGGTACAAACAGATCACATGGCGAGAGGAAGCAAGAGAGAGAGAGAGAAGGTGCCAGGGTCTTTTTAAGCAACAGCTCTCGGGGGAACTAATCAAGTGAGAACTCACTCATTAATCCCCACTCCCCCAGGGAGAGCATTAATCTATTCATGGGGGATCCTCCCCCATGACTCAATCAGTTTCCAACACTGCCACATTGGAGATCAAATTTCCAAATGAGTTTTGGAGGGGACAACACATCCAAACTCCATCACTAATTTACTGAAGTACATTAATGCCAAGCAGTTTTTGTTATTAAAGTCTTGATCTACATAAAAACAATAGAAAAATAAAAACATTTTTCTTCACCAATTTTTAATATCTTTTTTTTCCCTTAGGGTCGTCTCTTTTATGCATGTGATGGACCCAAAGCTGATCAATGTAAATTTTTCAAATGGCTTGAGGAAGTGACTCCAGGATATTTAACACAGGAAGAATCTCTACCTAGCATGGTTTTAAGTGATATTAAGAGTATTGGCTTGTACTTAAGAAGTCAAAAGATACCACTCTATGAGGAATGCCAGCTTTTGGTGAGGTATGTTTTATAATACCAAATAATTGCCTATAATTGTATTAGAGAATAGCAGCCATCACAGAATTATCATTAGTTTTAAAGAGGCTGAGATAGGAAAAGTCTCTAAAAGACTACCTGTTTCTATAATTGTTAAATGGGAATAAATCTTTAAAGTTATTTTGGCCCCCTCTAAACATTATGCAGTGTCAGCAATGTCAAGATAATCGGCAGGATGCTATTTTTCTAGCCATTTTTATGTACAGTCAGGGCTATTCTTCACAATCTTAAGAGAAACCGTATTGAACAAACCATAGGAATAATTTTTATCAGTGCAGGATAATAGGTAAGTTATTATTCAAAAGCCTGAACTACATATCTTGTAGGATAATAGAATACTACTTTTTGGAAACATATCTTTTATAAAGCTGAGATTACTCAAAAAGTAAACATACTGACCATTTGCATGGTAATTTAATAATAACAGTAACCTTTATTGGGAGCTTATATATGCCAGGCCCTCTTCTAAGCACTTTGCATGTATTATTTCATGTAATCATCACAATAACCTATAAGATGTGGAGATAATGGGGATAAGTTATTATTCCCATTTTACAGCTGGAGAAAATGAGATGGTCTGTCTTTTAGACTTTTCTTATCTCAATCTTTTTTAAAACCAGTGACAATTCTATGAAGGTTGTTTCCTTCTTTTGACAGAATAATTTATATTTTGTATACATGTGTGAAAGGATATAAACATACATACAACCCTAGTTCTTTCCTCTTCATACTGTACTTTAAAGATTTTGAAAAAATTTGTACCTTAATATTAAAATTCATTTTTAATTTTTGGTCTTTTTTTAGAAAAGGATTTGATTTTCAGAGAAAACAGTATGGCAAACTAAAGAAGTTTATGACTGTAAATCCTGAGTTTTACAATGAACCAAAAAGCAAACTTTATCTGAAGCTGAGTCGGAAGGAAAGTTCTTCAGTTTATAGCAAAGGTAAGTAGATGTGATCATGTTAGTGTTTCAGTCTAGCCTTGTATCTCCATTCCGTACAGCTCTATAAATTCTTTAAAGAGAATTTTAAAAGTATAGTTTAATAGTGTTACATATTGTAAATTACTGTATAATAAATTAGACCATTTCTAAAAATCATTTTAATATTTTAGGGCTTTTTTCTAAACTTTATTAAAAGAATACTAAAAACTGAAAACTTTTAATTTTGTTTAAAAAGTTACACTAAGTTGTTGGCATCATATAAATAAGTATATTGATTCAACTGTACTCTGACCTAATATAAATAAGCTGAAAAATGTAATGTTTATTGATACTTCTTTCATTGTCTCCACAAATTGACAACACTGGACCCTAAATTTTGTATTCTTGGAAATAAAATCGTTTAAACAGAGTTTTTTAAAGGACCATAGGTATAATAAATTGGATTAGTCATTATCTTTTGGTTTCTTGTGATTGGTTCTCACACAGCTTGCTTTTATTTAGTTATTTAATTACTTAAAATAATGTAAGTATCTGTGAACCCATAAATCAAAGCAAAATCTAATAACTTAATACTAACATCCATTTAATATAAATTAAACCCACTAACTCATCTGGCTGTCTCTCCTAACCCAAGGTAATTATTTTGATTCTTGTCTTCATCAACTTCTTGCTTTCCTTTGCGTTTAGATTTATATAAATGCATTTTTTAAATTTTTAGTTTTCTTTAACCTCATTAAAATGATATTCTGTATATAGTCTTTTGGAATTTATATTTTTTGCTTAATGTATTGCTGTAATTTATTTATATTATTTGGTGTTGCTCTAGAGTCTAGATTATTTGTTTTGACTATTGTATAATATTTTATTTTGTGAATATGCTGCAGTTCATTCATTCAGTCTCCCATTGATGGTCATTTGGGTTTCTAAGTTTTGCCATTGTGAACAATGTGCTATGTATGAGTATTCTTGTATTCTCTTGTAGATGTGGAAGTTTCTTCTGTATATAATTCTATAAATGAAAATGTTGCATTACAGGATGTGAAAATGCTTTATACATCTTTAGGTTGTAATGGCAAACTGATTTCTAAAGTAGTTATATCAATTTATATTCATACTATCAAAGTATAAGAGATCTTATGTATCAGCCTACTTATATGGGTGTAAAATGATCTCATTGTGGTTTTAGTTTGCATTTCTCTGCTCACCAATTATATTGAAATGCTCTTCATGTACGTATTATCTATATGTGTTTCTTTTCACCTATTTTACTATTGGGTTCTTTGTAAACTTTTTTATTTATGTAATTTCTTTACATATTTTTCATGTTAATTCTTTGTTGATCGTGTATATTGAGAATATCTGTTCCCAGTGTGTTTCATGTCTTTCACTTCCTTTAAGGTATCTTTAGATAAACAAAAATTCTTAATTTTAGGATAGTCAGATTTATTAGTCTTTCTTTTTTTTTTGGACAATGATTTTTGTGTTTTATTATAAAAATTTTCTCCTGTGCTAAGGTCTAAAATTATTTACCTATATTTTGTACTGAGTGTTTTAAAGTTTTGTTTTTCACATTCTTAAATCCATTTGGAGTTTTTTTTTTTATATATATAAGTGAGATATGGATCTAAGTTCATCTTTTTCTTTATAGTTACCAGTTTTGCTGGAAAGCTAACCATTTTTTATTGATTAGTCTCTTGTTTTCCTCTCTGATCTGAAATGCTACCTCTGTCATACATAATCAAGTTCAAAGTAGCCTAGGTCTGTTTCTGGACTCTCTATTTTATATTATTGGTCAATTTGCCTATCCTTGTGCCAATCCCACACTGTCTTAATTACTGTAGTTTCTTGAGTCCTGATCCAGATAGTGCAAGTTCCCCCTCCTTGTTCTTCTTAGATGTGAAGAACATCTTTGTCCTTCTTTGTCCTTCTCTCTTCCATATGTATTTTAGAATAATCTTATCAAGTTTCATGAATATAACCTGTTGGGATCTTGATTGGAATGGTATCTATAGATCAACTTGGGGAGGGATGACATTTTTTAAATAGTAAGTTTTATTATCCATGAACTTGCTATATCTGTTTATTTAAATCTTTTATAACATCTTGTAATACAGTTTTACAAATTTCTCTGTGGAGGTCTTAAACCTTTTTTTAAAGATTTATTTATAGACACTTTATATTCTCTGATACTATCATATTATTTGTATTTTTGTTCTCTTGATCAATCTTGCCTGAGGTTTATATATTTTGTTAGTTTTTTCAAAGAACCAACTTTTGGCTTTGTTGATCAGAAGATCAGCAAAGTATCTTTGTTTTGTTTTCATTGTCGACTTCCATTCTTATTTTTATGACCTCTTCTATTTTGTTCGGGTATAGTACACTGTTCTTTTTCACACATCTTAGGTGGTTGCTTAGCTTGTGAATTTTGAGGCTTTCCTCTTTTCTAATTTAATTAGTCAGGCTGTAAATTTCCCTCAAAGTACCACTCTACTTTTGCTGAAGTACTTTTTTCCTTATAATTCAGATTTTTAAATTTCCATTATGATTTCTTTTTTAACCCGTGAGTTATTTAGCATATGTTTTAATATTCAAATATGTAAAGAATTTCTATTTTGTGTTTTTGTTAATTAACTTCTGACTTAATTGTGTTATGGTCAGACATTATGGTTTTCATACTATTTAAAGTTTATTAAGATTTTCTTAATAGTATAATACAAGAGAAATATATCTAATTTTCTCTAATTGTTGGATGTAGAATACTTTAGCCATCAGGTTAAGCTTATTAAGTGTTTTCTCCAGATCTTCTATAGTCTTGCCAATTTTTTATGGCAGTTACCTATCAGTAATCAAGGGAGATAAGTTGAAGTCTGCCTCTATCGTGTACTTTCTTTGTGTTATTTTATTACTTTTTGCATTTTACATATTGAGTATTTTATTAGGCACATATATGTTTTAAATTACTATTATCTTCTTGGTAAATTGAAACTTTTAGCATTATGTAGAGACCCTCACCATCTCTAATACATTTTATTAAAATCTATTTATTAATACAGATATACCAAGTTATCATTATGTAGAGAGTCTCACCATCTCTAATAATTATTTCTGTTTTTCCTTCTTTTTTTAGTGGTTGGTCATGCAGACTACTTATTAATATCAGTATACCAAGTTTATTTTGACTAGTATTTGCTTGATGTCTTTTTTCAACCTTTTTTCACCTTTTTGTGTTCTTATAGGTGTGTCCCTTTTAAATAGCATATGTCTCAATTTTTAAAATTTGACTTGTAAATAGAATAAGCTCAGTAGTTAAGTTTATTATAATTGAAATACTTGGGTATGTTTCTACAACCTTAAATTATTATTTCTGTTCATTCTACCTTATGTTCTATTTAATACTTTTTTGCCTTTTAAAAAAAAAAAACACAAAAGATAGTTAAATCTTACCCCTCGCCACAATAAAACAAGTACTTAAAAAGCACTCATATTCCTTGGTTCTTCCCCTGATCCTTCCCCTCACTATTCCTCACCCCGGCCCCCAGTTGACACTATACAGACTAGTGCTACTCAAAGTACGGTCTGCAAGCTGGTTCTGGTCTGTAGCCTTACTGATTCCCAAAGAGAGGTACGGAATTGCTCCAGAATGTAAATCATCTATGTCATTCAGAAGACTGTTTAGTTCTGCTGTGTTTTGTTTTATTTGTAGCAAGATTTTCTGAATAAAGGAAGAATTATGTTGGTTTGTTTAATTATATTGTGGCACAAACCTCTCGTTGTAGACCAATAACAAACCATTAGTACAGGCTACTTTGAGTAGTGCTAGTCTAAACGTATAATTTCTGGGTTAGTAAGGGTCTACTTTCTCTCTTTCTTTAGATGACACATAAAAATTTTAGGTTCTATGTTCTTTTCCTTTAATACTTTTGAGCTAAAAAAACAGCAATTTCATATGTTTTTGCTGTTGAAAAATCTGATGGCACTCTGATTCTTATTCCTTTTTATGTTTGTTTTTTCTGGCTAGAAGCTTTAGAATTTTCTCTATGACTTTGATAGTTGTATATTTCCCTATAATTGTGTCTAACTGTGGGCTTTTCCTTTTTTCTTCTCTTGGGCGCACTATGGGCCTTATGAATCTAAAGACCTTTATCTTTTTTTAATTCTGGGAAATTGATCTTGATTATTTCTTCAAACAATCTTCCTCTTTATCTCTTTATTTTCTCTCTCTTTTCTTTCTAGGTCTTTTATTAGTTAGTATTTCTGAATCTGTCTTCCAGATCTCTTAGCTTTTCTTTTATATTTTGTGGGGTTTTTTTTTTTTTTTTTTCCTTTTGAAATGCATCTTCACTATGGTCTTCTGGATTGCTTATTTATTCCTCAAATATATCCATTCTCGTATTTATCAATTACAACTTCATTTCAACTGCCATATTTTTCCAACTTAATATTTTTGTTCATTTCTTTTCCACATTTTCTTCTTATTTTACATTGCTACTATCTTCTGTTATCTCTTTTTATATCTTTACCAGGCTGAATGTCAATGTTTTACCCTTCTGTTTTTGTATTTCCTTTTCTGTAGGAATCTATAATTCAGTATGCTTTTCTTTTGAAGTGTTTGTGTTCCTCACATGTCTCATTATTTTGGCCTGTGAACTCATTTTCTCCTGGTGGTATCAGCTAGTCTTTGTGGCAGTGAATATTGGGGAAGACCCACCCCAGTCTTGTCAGCTCCAATGAGGAAGAAGCAACGATAAGAGGAATCATTTCTTATATTGCAAAATTCTTTAGCCCTGAGAGATTGGAGTGAATGATGTGGGGTAGAGACTGCCTGTGATCAGTTAGTTGTCACCTGCTTTTCTCTGCTCTTTACATAGAGAGCTTGCTGCCCTGATTTTTTTCCAAAGGATTTCTGAACCAGAAGTGTGAATTGCCCTATGAATGGGTACACCCTATTTGTCCCAGTGCAACTGGGAGTGGGAGAGAGGCTGGGGACGGAAAATAAGAAC